AAAAAAAAAAAAAAAATATATATATATATATATATATATATATTTAATAGAGTCAACCAAATAGTTCATGGTGCCTACCTTCCCAAGCATGAAATTATCTACTTCTACCTGGACATGAATCAATAGAGATTAATTGTTTTATTTTTCATATCAACAATGTTAACCAAACATGTTTCAGATGGTGGCACTAAACTAAACATTGATTTTAACACAGCTACATTAATCAAGCCTGTCTGTGTGAATTATGCAAAATATAAAGCTAACACTTTCATTTACAAGATGAACAGGTTCTGGGGAATCTGATGTACAGCATGGTGACCATGGTTAACAATACTGCACTTAGACACTTCACATTTGTCAAGAGAGTAGATCTCAAGTGCTCTCAACACACACGTGCGCGTGCATGCACACACACGCACACAGGAATCATGTGAGATATTGGAAGTGTCAATCAACTTGACTGTGGTAAACATCTCACAGTGCACATGTCCACCAGATCATCCTGTTTTATGGGAAACCTGCTCCTTCCCTTGGCTTATTCTCGCTTGTGTTCTGTATCTTTATCTATCTCTATATAATACATACATATACATAGACATAAAAACACATGTATATCAATTTGTACACACACATATGTCTTAATGTAATGATAATATAATTAATTATTTTATTTTCTATCAATAGTAGACTAGATAGGGTTTGAAACAGTAGAAAGTGTGTGGACTCTGGCATCACACTGACTTCTGTTCAAATCTTGGTCCATTTCCTTGAACAAGTTATTTCATTTTTCTGACCCCTACCTAATTTTAAGATAGAGTAAACAACACTTAGTATATTATTAGGTTTTTATAGGTATTTGAAATAATAAAGTTAATTTGTTAACTTTATGAGTTAAAATAAAGTTAAAAAAGGGACTATCAGACCTTTCCTCCTAATAGACTGTCAACAATGGAAGCTGTCTTTATATAGTTCATTATTTCAGTGTGACCTCACTCTCCCCCAGGTTGTTTTCTAGAAGGCGAGCTAATTTTTACCTCTGAGTTTTTGGCTTGCAGCCTTTAGTGTGAGGATTCATGCCAGAAGGAGGAAACATGGAAAATTTTAAACACTAATGGGTCCAATAGCAACATTCAAGCAAATACTTTCTAAGGATCTGTTTGTAATATAAAAAGAACATTTTAAATCTCCTCTTATGTTTCTCATTTATGCAAATTGTTTAAATAAACCAAGTAAGTGGGTTGAGTTTTATAATGTTGAAATTCTAGTGAGTCTCTGTAGACTCTTGCAAGTGAATTTGGCAATGACATGCACCACCAGGCTTATTGGTTCTCAGAGGGTCCTTACAACTTCATGCTGGATGTCTTGGGTCTACCGTTAGAGACAAACCCTTTGTTGTCCTTCAAAGCCACTGCTGAAACTCTGTCTGAGGCCACGAATGAGAGACACTCCTGGTATATTGATCTTTGTGGCATTGATTAGTGACCTTCTGTCTTAGTCCGTTCAGGCTGCTATAACAAAATACCGTAGACTGTGTGCCTTATAAACAACATACATTTATTTCTCACAGTTCTGGAGGCTGGGAAGTCTAAGATCAAGGTTCTGGCAGATTCAGTGTCTGGTGAGAACCCAATTCCTGGTTTGTAGATGGCTGTCTTCTTGCTGTGTCCTCACATGGCAGAAGCTGGGAGGGAACTCTCTGGGGTCTCTTTCATAAAGGCACTAATCCTATTCATGAGGGCTCTACCCTCATGATCTATTCACCTCCCAAAGGCCTCACCTCTTAATACCATCACACTGTGGGGTTAGGATTTCAACATATGCATTTTTGGGGACACGAACATTGTCTATAGCATTATCCTTCCCAGTGTGAGTTCCAGGTGTCCACACATCAGGGCTGTCTTCAGTGGTCTGCATTGCTGGGATTGCTGCTGATTAAGGGAACTAGAGATATCTTCAGAGAGGTGCATCCCATCAGAGCCCTCCGGTTTTCCTGGGCAGCTCCTGCCTGGCTATGTAGGCCTCCCTGAATTCACTGTGCCAGTTCTATGGGTCTAGACTTTATTCAGCTAAAGAAGATGGTAAATAGTATGTATCTTATGTTTTTATACACCTAAACTGATCTGTTCATGATCTTTGTAAGTACCATAAGTAAAATCATTTGACTTGTTCCATTTACTTTCTTTTTTTAAACTATGAAATATTTTAAGTTTTCACAAAAAAAAGTTTAAAAATAAGGCCACTGATTTTTATTTAAAGTTGTTGATGTAAAAATTGAAAAACAAAACTAGTTTCATTTAAGAGAAATGTATGAATGCACTAATATCAAGCAATTCATAAGCCCAGTAGAACTTCTGGCGTTTGGAGTGTGGCTTTAGCTATGATATATGACTTTCTATAAATATGTGATCAAAAATAGAATCAGAATAAAACACTCCAAACAGTTTATTTTAAAAAAACAGTCCAGTGATTTATAGGTGAAAGTGTTATTTCATGTTACTTCTTAAAAAAAAATAAATTCTACCACTTTATTCTTATTTATGTACATTTACCTCAGCAGGAAGACTTACTCTAAAAGAATTTGAAAGAAAATTAGCAACTAAACCCAAGTGTGCTCAGTTATATTTTCAAGACATAAATGTCACAATACTACATGGCATTCTTTAGTAACTATTTAAAAACTGGATCTTCTTATTTTGCTTTTAAGAGCATAACGTGGTTTGACATTTTCCCCACTTTTTATGAACTCCATTTACAAATTTAAAAATATATTATAAAATAATTTTTATTCAACCCAGACTTTCTCAAATACATCTTTTGCCTTTGGAATTTTTTAAACTATTGGACAAAATGTTCCCATTAATAGGTGAGATAGTAAATATTTGGCCCATTTGTGTTATTATCTAGCAGCAATTTTTTAAAGTGCAGTCTATGGCCTGTCCCAGAGTCACTTATGATGCTTGTTAAAAAATACAAATTCCGGGCTTCCCTGGTGGCACAGTGGTTAAGAATCCGCCTGCCAATTCAGGGGACATGGGTTCGAGCCCTGGTCCAGGAAGATCCCACATGCTGTGGAGCAACTAAGCCCGTGTGCCACAACTACTGAGCCTGTGTGCCACAACTACTGAAGCCCACACGCCTAGAGCCTGTGCTCTGCAACAAGAGAAGCCACTGCAATGAGAAGCCCACGCACCACAAGGAAGAGTAGCCCCCGCTCGCGGAAACTAGAGAACACCCGCGCGCAGTAATGAAAACCCAATGCAGCCAAAAAAGAAAATAAATAAATAAATAAATAAATTTATTTTAAAAATACAGATTCCTTGGTCCTCTCCTAATTTACTGAATCAGAGTCTCTGTTGATACAGCCCAGGAATATGCATTTTAAACAAGCAACTTGAATGTGCCTGATACATGCAAAATTTTGAGGTCCACTGGAAGAATGTCTCAGAACCTTAGTTAAAGGAGATGAAGAGTGTGAGGCAACAGTATCTGAAGATGTCGGCCCAGAGAATTAATCAGGGGAAGCGCTTTCATTTTAAAATGAAGAAGTAGGGAGAACAATTTTTCAAGCTCCTTCCAGCCCTGAAATCCTGAGATTGTTTTGCCCTTTGTGTATGCTCTGAACATTGCAGTCTCACTGTATTCAGGCTCTGAGAAGGCTCTCCTCTGTCTTTTATTTTATTTATTTAATTAATTAATTAATTTATTTTAAATACAAAGAACTCTTGCAAACACTTCATTCAGATTCACTGGATAACATTTTCTGATGCCAGGCTCCACTCCTCATTGAATTTCATGGCTCACAGTGTGAATAATACTGAAAGAGTTCAGCCCAGTCTCCCTCTCCTAGTAGATGAAGGAACAGAGGGCCAGAAAGCATACTCGACTTAACTCAAGGGGGTTGTTAACATTTCACTTCATTTGTTTTATTCTCTCCCCACCTCTTTCCCCACCTAAGTATTTAAAAGTTACATAATCATGCATCTTACCCCTAAATACTTCAGTGGCTATTCCTAACAACAAGAACATTCTCTTCATAACTATGATTCAATTTTCAAATTAAGAAAATTTAACATTGATACAATACTATTTTCTAATAAAGTTTCCATATTCAAAGTTTGCCAATAGTGCCAGTTGTGTCCTTTGTGGCAACAGTGAGTATAGTTCACAGACAGAACGTACACTAATGAGTAACAGAGCAAGTGGGTTAAGCGGAGTCTGGTTTTTTTCTTTTCTTTTCTTTTCTTTTTTTTGCGGTATGCCGGCCTCTCACTTCTGTGGCCTCTCCCGTTGCGGAACACAGGCTCCGGACGCGCAGGCTCAGCGGCCATGGCTCACGGGCCCAGCCGCTCCGCGGCATGTGGGATCCTCCCAGACGGGGCACGAAACCGTGTCCCCTGCATCGGCAGGCGGACTCTCAACCACTGCGCCACCAGGGAAGCCCAAGTGGAGTCTGGTTTTTAAGATAGACTCTACTGTAGTTTAATTTTTGTTAAAAAATATGTAATAAAATGGAATGTCCCCTATGCTTTCCTCATGGAATGTTAGATCTAACATTATAAGATGGACTCATAGGGATGCTTTGTTCGTCTCCTAACTTCCTTTTTTTTTTTTCTTTATTGGAGTATAATTCCTTTACAATGGTGTGTTAGTTTCTGCTTTATAACAAAGTGAATCAGTTATACATATACATATGTTCCCATATCTCA